GTGCCCCATTTCGCTATGTGATTGGGGGACATGTTGGGTAGTTTAGAAGAGAAAAGAAAAATGAAAAATTAGCTTGCGCGCGGGGCCAACAGTCGGGGCGATAGGAATTCACGCGAGGCAACTGGAGAGCTGATTTAAGGTTTTATGGCCCATATGTGGTTGGCATCTCTCCATTAGCTTGGGACAGCACACTTTATCTCAACAGTGAGCGAGGGGGAGGGGGTAAGTTTGGTGCAGTGGTATTCCATCGTCCTGGTTTTGGTTGTTCTGTGGTCGAAAAGCACAAACTGGTGTGGTTGAAGCTCCCAGTGTTGACGGGAAATTGATTTCAGAGAGGGCGTTTAAAAGTTGGCAAATTTTGCGACCTCACGTCGATGCTTTGGGTCGGCGAGTCGCATTTTGTTTTCGCGTCGAGCAGTGCGCTCTCCGATATCTTCTATGACGACGTCAATAAAAAGGTACTCAATCTCTTGCTCCCTTCCAATTTGAGCTTACAGAATTAGGCGTTTTGCGGTGCTCTTGTGCATTTGGTGAGCTTTGTCGGTGTCGGATTCTGGGCAAAAAACGAGGCCGCAATTTGCTTTGCAACTTTCGAAGTTGACGCACGGAAACGTTCTGTTTGTGGTTCCCTTTTGGCCTTCTGCCATGGACTGTATCAGGCTGTTGGCTCCACTCACTGTGCTGTGGATCAGTGTTTCAGATTGTAACAGTACACAATAAGGACGGTGGCGAGGTGGATGTGAGGTCATATGGTCTCGTACCTCACCAGATCACCCCATTTCGGTATGTTATCTCTTTTTTATGTACCAGTGCAATTACGGAAGTAAATCTTGCTTCCCCAAGTAACGCTTGCTAGAGAAAGCAGCGTCTCCTCAGTGCCCGACCATTGATGTTGGCAAAACACCATAAGTTGAGGATGCCACTGTCTCTTTATAGGATTCTCGCAGGGATTTATAACGGCATTTTTTTTCTGAAGCGGCTGAGTAGGGGGTTTATGCTTTTCTATTGCTGGTTTATTGCAGCTTGAAAGATAAGGGCAGAATGCGTATTATCAAGTTTTCTCCGGACGAACGCTTGCTCTGTGTTCAGTACGATGATTTTAGTGTGGTAAGAGCTCCGAGATTTTTTGGTTCCTCTGTTTCTTTCCTCGTTTTGCTTTCAAATTTTTAAATGTAGGATTTTATAAACGTTGCTTCACGAAACGACTGCCTGCTCAGCGCACACTTCTCGCATTCACCAAGGAATCGTTCCGCTCGCATTATCGGTATCGAATGGATATTGGCAAACCAAATTTTGCTTATAACCAATCAGGCAGGTATTTGCTTATAGATTTCATTGCTTTTGCCTCTGTGCTGCTTCTCCTCTTATTGCACTCGCCATTCGCTGTTAGGGCAACAACTGACTGCAATGAACTGAAAAACCTTATTCTTTTTCGTAGCTGCAAATATGCAAAGGGAAAAATCTGTTTGGTTTTGTGGAGACACAAACACACACACACACACACACACGCACAACCCTGTGACAATATGCATTTTGTGCAGCTGTTGCACAACACATAAAAAAGCGGGCCAACAGCAACTTTTCAAAGTAAAGGAGCATCGGAGTAATGCATTTTCAATGCTACGAAATTTTCCGGTAATTCTTCAGCATGATAATGGTTGATTTATAAATAATTTTTGTAAAAAGTTACTGACGATTTTCCGTTGAATCCTCGGATTGTAATGAATTTACTTTTCTTGGGTCTTGCGGTATTAAGCTTTCCGAAGACGATGCTTTTCACGATAATTTTTTTTAATGATTTTTCTGATACTCATGAATTTGCTTATAATTTTATGGTGAATTTGCCCTTATTTTGCTCTGTTTCTTAGCGTATTT